CTTTCGAGTGCTTTTTGCGTTGAAAGCTTTCGAGTGCTTTTTGCGTTACTTCAACTTTCAGTTGGACACAATTTACATAATCATAGAACCGCAACTGAAGTTAAAAGATGTTTGTAGACATCTGTCCTTATTTTCCCATTCCTTGTCTTGAATCACGCTCAAGTCGGTAGTGAAAGTACTAAAATAAACAAGAAATGAAAATCAAGTTGGTATGTGATTCAGCTGATTTGTTTCCATGACAAGTCCACTGTGACAGTTGTAAGAACATAGGAACTCGAGTAGACCATTCAGCCTGTCAAGCCCACTCCACCACTCAATGAGATCATCTACTTCAAAACTATTTTCCTGAGCTATTCCCTTCTTCCTTGATGTTTTAAATATGTATGCATCTAATTATCTCTGTCCTGAACATGGCCCATGACTGAGTTTCCATAGCCCTCTGGGGCAGAGATTTCCACAGTTTCACGACCCTCTCACTAAAGAAATTCCTCCTGATCTCAGCCCTACATAATGTACCTCTTATTTGGAGATTGTCTCCTCGCCCTAAACCTCAACCCCAGCAAGGGGAAACATCCTGCATCTAAGATTTTGTCATGGTTGACTGAAATTGTCTCTCATTCTATTAATGTCCAGAGAGTACAGGCCTAATCTAATTAACTGTTCCTCATAGGACAACTGCTCTATCACCCGGATTTAATTTGTGACCCTTAATCGGCAATCACGTGGCAAGTGTTTAGTTTCTCTGCCATTTCCTTATTTCCCATTATAACTTTTCCTGGCTCCACTTGTTTTGGACTCCTGTTTGTTTGTGTTTTTTTTTGTTTTTGCATACCTCCAGAAGCTTTTACAGTCTTTTTGTTAGTTTACTCTCATTCTGCTTACCCTTTCTTAATCTTTTTGTTAGTCCTCCTTTGCAGAATTCTAAAATACTCCCAGTCCTCTGGTTTACCACTTGTTTTGGTGATTTAATAGGTCTCTTCCTTTTAATCCTTTATCCTTTTAATCTTAATTTAATCCTTAATTTCTTTCATAGCCACAATTGGAGCACTTCCGTTGCCGGCTTTTGTGCGTTAAAGGAGTGTACGCTTGTTACAAACTGTGCATTACTACTTTACTGTTGTGTATAAACTCCACAGTGGGGAAAGTTTTTGGTGTAGAATTCCAATATGAAAAACATATTGTGATGCTGGAGGCAATTTATTTCACTGTTTCCGTACCAATGTTTGGATATCCAGGATGCTGAATTTAAAGTAGAATGCACTTATTTGTGCTGTTTATTCTTATCTATCTTCTAATCATTTTTTCCTTTTTTTTAAACCAGGGAGAAATTTGGTCAGGAGGTGAACTCGTTGGTGCCAAAATCTTCACATTCTTTAGCAAAAACAAAAACTTTGGTGAAAAGCTTGATGAATCGAGCTGAGCTATTGCTACATGTTACCATAGCGGCACAGGCTGGCCTAACTAGGAGTATTTCAGGAACCCCAGCTGACACACCAGGTATTGATCCTGACTCAAAAGAGTGATGTCGGAAAGAACAAAAGGGCTTTTGTTGTTCTAATCAGTTGTGTTTGCATCACATATTTAATGTGTTTAATTTGAGAATTCAAAATTGTATGCTGAGACTAGTATGGGAGAGCACCTATGCTAAGGATAGTGGGAACTGTGCCATTGGGATTATCTACTGCTGAACCCATGCTGGGGCCACTGTTCTAGAGAACCACATAACTGGGAAAGTAGAAAGGGCCTTAAATGAGAAGCAGGCCATTCAGCCCATCAAGTCCACACTGACCCTCTTAAGAGCATCCCACCCAGTTTCACTCTATCCCTACAATCCTGCATTCCCCATGGCTAATCCACCTAATCTACACATCCCTGACATTATGGGCAGTTTAGCACAGCCATCCACCTAGGCTGCATATCCTTGACTGTGGAAGAAACTAGAGCACCTGGAGGAAACCCCCTCAGACACAAGAATGTGAAACTCCACACCGTTGCCCAAGGCTGGTGTCGAACCTGGGTGCCTGGCATTGAGGGACAGTGCTAACCACTGAGCCTCTGCTGCCCAATGTTGGAGCACATGATCAATTTTGCAGAGCTGGATAAATAATAAAGTAGAGACATGAAAAGGAAAAAAGGTTATAATGTGAGAAATAATAAACAGGGATAGCAGGGATAAGAATAATAATAAGAATAATTCAACAGATAAACTTAGAAGGTACAAAAATAATAAAAGAGCCAATCTAATGATTCAGTGTCTGAACGCATATCGTATTCAGAACAAAACCAATGAATTGATAGCACAGATAGAAATTAGAAACATGGTTAGAGGCTGACATCAATTGGGACCTGAATATTGAAGGGTACAGGAAATTTAGGAAGAACAGGAAGCTAGGTGGTTCTGCTAATTAATGAAATTCATGCATGACCAAAGTTCAAGAAACCAAGATGTAGAAGTGGCTTGGGTAGGGATGATAAAGGCAGTAGTCACTTGTGGGAGTTGTGTTCTGGCCTCCTGACAATAACCGCATGGTAAGATAGTGTATGAATCAAGTAATGGGAACAAAAAGGTGCAGTGATAATAATGAGTTTTTAATCTGCGTAGATACTGGATAAGTCAGATGGGCAAATGTAACCTGGATTCATTTTAGGAAAATTTTCAGGAGAGGTCAGAACTATATGTTCTAGAGCCAGCCAGAGAGCAGGCTACAATAGCAATGTGTGCATCAGGTTTGTTAATGACCTTGTCATTGAAAGCACCTCTAGGTAAAGGCAATTATGAGGACATGAAAGCAGTTAGATGAAATAAACTAACAAATTAGGTTAAGGGGTACATCTGTGGAGACTGTAATGCCTCACTGCACAGCGTGCTGAAATCAAGCCCTACTATTCCCGAATTGTCATAAAAGTTAAAGATAAGTTCACCAATTTATCTAAACATTAAAGCCAGGTTGAATGGAATCCCAGACTAGTTTTCTGTCCTTAAATAAATATATTTAATTAATTCAATTATTCAATAAATATAAACAATTATAAACTGTTAGCATGTAAACCTGCTAGTTAAAACTGTAGCCCCCTTATAAACATCCCCTCTACACGAGTGTATGGTTAAGAAAAAATGGGTGTGATGAACAGGGGGAATGACTGAGAAGGCATCTCTGGTCCCTATTCACAGGGCTCACTAAGACGGTCACTTTGGCTTGTCATTAGTGCTGCTCCTTCTCCAGATGCTTTCACCTGCTTACAGGATGGCTGGTTCACGCTTATGAAGTCTCTGGCTTACTGCTGAAGAGCCTGAGAGAAATGGCGAAGGGAAAAATAAATTGGCATTTATCAGGCTTAAATTTTTACCTTCCTACAGAGGCAAACGACAGCTTTGCACATTTGGACATCTGTTGTCTTCTCCCAGCTGTTCACAGTCCAACTGGGTCAGATACCAGAAGCCAGTCGTACTGTTGTTGGCAGGCAGAAGGCCTTTGACATTGGTCTCTGGACTAAGGACCAGTTATCAATCAACTGCTTGTTGTTGGCCAAAACTTCACTGAAAATCCTCTGAAAAAGCAGCTGTGTTAACAGCACTTAAAATATTACTTTTAAAAATTGCAGCAATCCTTCAACGGTCCTTGATTTTTGAAGCCATTCTTTTCCTATTTCAGTCCACAATCAAAAATACAGAAAATTAAGACATGGTCTTTACATGTTGCAGTGACAAGTTGTTGGATTTCAGGATGCACTCCAGCATGAAGGGAAAAAATCCAAGGGATGGATGCATTGTCTGTAGTTAACTAATAAAGTTAAAGATAAAGTGTATAATTGTGCAAAGATGGATGGCATGTCAGAAATTGGACAGAATACAAGACAGAGCAAAGATTGACTAAATATTTTTAAGGAAGTCAAAATTAGAGCATGAAAGAAAGCTAACTAGAAATATAAAAACGAGTAATACCAGTTTCTATAGATATCCTTTAGAAAAGGAAAAGTTAAAAAGTTAGAATTGGTCCTGTGGTAAGTAACCCTGGGGGATTAATAATGGAAAATAAGGAGATGGCAGATAAATTAAACAGATTTTTTGCATTGGTCCTCATGTGCATCATCTGCAGTAACATCCTAGAAATAGCTATCAATCATGAAATGGAAGAAAGGGAAGAACTCAAGAAAATTACAATTACCAGAGAAGTGGTACTCAGCAAATTGTTGGAGCTGCAGGTTGGCAATCCCTATGTCCTGATGGACTTCATCCTACTGTCAGGATTCCAGCTGATGGTAGTGCTCTTTAAGTCAGATTCCTGAGCAGCTCGACACACTTTGTTTTATTTTCATTTTTGTAATTTGATTACTGTAGTTGTCAGTGGCGAATATATTTGCAAGAGTCTGTCAATGTACTCTTAGCAAACAGGTTTTGTGCACAAAGGGAATGAAAGTATAAACTATTAACATCAAGAATTATTTGATACAGTCTTGTTACAAATATCAGATATAAAGGATCAACACTTTTACCCTCAACTGCAAACTTAAAGGTACTGAAACTTCAATGAATGGCCATGCTGTTTGCATTTTAGTTTTTTTAATCGGTCTGTTCAGAGTTGTTATTACATAACTCTGGAGTAGATGGGACTTGAAGCTGGGCCTCCACAGCCCAGAAGTAGGGACGCTACCACTGTGCTGCAAGAGCCTTCTGTTTGCATTTAAAAAAAAACTTTTAAACAATGTCTTTTACTTTTTTAAAAAATTTGACCTATTTTTTCAATTCAACCTGTTTAGAGATGCTACTACACACCTGTGGAGCAGGTGGGATTTGAACCCAGGTTCTCCCAGTCCATGGGTAGGGACACTAACACTGTGCCACAAGCGGCCTTTCTTGGCCCTTCTCGTGGTAAATACAGTAAGCATTGCACCACAGCAACATTGAGCTGTTTGCATTTTAAAAGATCCTTGTTCAGTTGACACAGTTGTGTTCTACGTTCACTCAATGCTGTCAACTTTAGTTAATATCTTTTCATGAGACCCTTAAACTGTGAGCACAGCTCACTTATTCCCAAGCCTAGGTGGTGGCACAGTGGTTAGCACTGCTGCCTCTCAGTACCAGGGATCTGGGTTCAATTCCACCCTCAGTCTGTGTGAAGTTTCAATGTTCTCCCTTTGTCTACATGGATTTCTTCCAGGTGCTTCGGTTTCCTCCCACAGTCCAAAAATTTGCAAGTTAGGTGGATTGGCCATGCTAAATTGCCCATAGTGTCCAGAGATGTGCAGGTTATGTGAATTAACCGTGGGAAATACAGGGATAGGTTAGGGGGAGTGAATCTTGATGCCCTTCGGAGAGTCAGTGTGGACTTGTTGGGCCAAATGGCCTGTTTCCACATTGGAGGGATTCCTTAAACTCCTCTTCCACGTTTGGAGCTTTATTTTACTGACACTAAACCAACCACACTAACATTTCTGCCCAACTTGCTTTAAAGACTGCCAAGCTGACAGCCTCTTTGTCGTCATAGTTTTCTCTGAGAGATATCTGCACACTTCCTAAACATGGTTCTCTTTTTGTGAATGGAAATAGTTCCTATGTAATAGGGCACCCTGAATCTGGGGAACAGCCCTTTCTCTGTTTCTGTTTCTGTTTCCCTTTCTCCCTTTTCCCCTTGTTCTCTCTTTTCCCCTTTCTCTTTCTCTAGTTTCTTACACAGCTCAGCACAAGCTCAAAGAGCAGCACCTCATTTTCCGGTTGGGAACTCTACAGCCTTGTGCACTCAGTATGGAGTTAAACGATTTTAGGGCTTGAGGGGCATCTTCTCCTAGGTCCTTACCCCACCCCCACATAGCAGGCCTTGTTACCACATGGTCTGCTGTTAGATACAATCCATTGTTAGCCACTAATTATCCCTACTAGTAGCTATTCATTCTCCCAGACTGATCATTAGCTACTCCTTTGACTGTCCAAATGTTCTCTCTTTTTGGGCTCTATTTCCACCTATTATTCACTCATTATCCCCTCACCCCACCTATCTTCTAGCTACCATCAGCTCTGAGGAAAGGTCACTGGACCCAAAATGTTAACTGATTTCTCTCCACAAATGCTGCCAGACCTGCTGAGCCTTTCCAGCAATTTCTGTTTTTGTTTCTGATTTCCAGCATCTGCAGCTCTTTCAGTTTTCATTTAATTTCTCTCTGATATGATGTGGTCCAGTGAATCTTGCTTTTAATTATTCCCTAGAGAAAGGTAATAGTATTAACACCTCATTGTCAACAAAATTCCAAATGTTTGCTTTTTTTTATCCGCTCTAGTTTTCATTGTTTGTTGAATGCTGTTCAAATGCTTTTTGGTCAACTTGCACACTTGGGTCAGTTTTTCTTGGAAAATTGATACAAAGGTTGGAAGTGCAGAGTGGGTCTTGCTTTGGAAATTTCTCTTTAATTAGTTTAAGAAGTCTTCTCACTCCATGTCCACATATGAAGTTCAAAAAGACTGAATCCTGGAAACTCTTTAAGGGCATCCATGATGGCAAACAGTCACAACCTAATCATTTGATCAAAATCATCTGGAAATTCTTGACAACGGGATATAATCACGGTCTTCAAAGCTTGATACTATCTTCTCCTAGACTGTGGATGGTGAGAGTAAAGCATGAATTATTTTGTTCCCAAACTATTTATTACATTTTGTGTATTTGTAACATATACACTAAGATCAGGGTTCAGAACTTTTTTTGGATAATCAATGTGTTGTTTTAAAAGATGAACTGACTTTTGCACTGTTTATGCATTAATTGTCCACCAAAGGCAGTGCTTCAATGAATCTGGTTGAAACATCATCCGTGATGTTAAAAGACACTGATTGCAAACCTTGGTTTCAAGTTGGGGTCCTACATGACCTATTCACATCCTGCTAAAAAGTTAGTAGAAAGGTGGTATTAAAATTAAGTGTGTAGGTTTAATCAATGTTTTGGTTTTCTACTGTACCAATAAGTTTGGCAAAATTAGACCATGTGATCTTAACCATTAAATTTTTTTGTGTATTATTCTGTGTTCCTAATAACTAAGTGACCAAACTTGGAATTTTGTGAGCCACTCGTAGAATTTTATAACTAAGCTCTGATAGAATTACCAGCAGATGGACTGCCATCCATTCCTCTTTGCTGGTCCTCTGTGGTCTCAATATCCTCATTAATACTTTGTCTTTTAAATGATGGTGCTTAGGCATTGACTCTGATTCCATTTCTGAATAATAGGCTATTTGATACGGTGCTCTCAGCTCAAAATGTTACATTTTTATTAAAGAAAGTTGGCTGACCCTGTCAGCCTCATTTTCTTCTCCTTTTGTCCTTTTTTACTTGTGTTTAAAATCATCATTAGATAACTGAATTTCCATGTTGTCTCCTTTTACCATAGACTACTTGTTTTTCTACCTAATTCTGTGAACCTAAGATCTAGGTAAAACATGTTCAGGAAATGCAGGTGTTCTTTCTGTAACCTCTGTTTGTTTCACTTCTGTTTTTGCCAACAATAATTTTGAGTCAGCAAGGTTATTCTCCATGATGAAATCAATATATTCTATCGGGATTTATTTCACAATTACAATTTCTGTACTTGCTAAATCACTCTTACCTGGTTCTGTGTATTGGGACTGGTTTGTGACTTCTGAGTATGCCTTCAATTAATATTTTTCCTTCATTAACCCCCCTGGAAGTCAATTGATATCATCAGCCAACATCAGGAACTGACTGCTCCAGTGTAAGTCAGTGCCTTTATTAGTTTGCTTGGTTGCTAAGAAAAATACAGAAATACTTCTCCCTTTGTAATCAAATATTCAGAATTTCCATGTGTCTGATTCTCTTCAGCAATAATCAAAGAACAACATTTCTTGGCAGTTCTAAGTCGTCTCTCCTATGTTGTCCGTGCTGTGGACACTTCAGTCAGTTTATGTATTGACAACACATTACCAAGCACTCTTGTTGGTGAGGCGGCCATAGGGACACAGAATTTAGTTTTGTAGTTAAATTCAATTTTATTAACAAAATGTTCCTTACTAAAAACACCATGTGAATATTTCCCAAATTCCCATAATGTTCTGGGGAAGGGTCCAGACCCAAGGCATCAGCTCTCCTGCTCCTCTGATGCTGCTTGGCCTGCTGTGTTCATCCAGCTCTACACCTTGTTATCCCATAATGTTTACTGTCTACTTATCCTTTCTCAGAAGGATAGAGCTATTACCCACAATGATTTACATGTTTAAACTGGTCTGTTGGAATCTCCTTTCTCTTCAACGTAGGGCTGACTGTTTTTCATGAGGGTGGATCTCACAGGTCAGAAATTTCTCCTGGATCATCTTGAATTGCTGTATAATCTTCTATCACAAGCTTTGCTATGGGTCTACACTGAAGGATGGCTTCCATGTGTGTGGTTTTGTCTCCCCTCACCCCAAACCTTCCCAAATGGTCTGCGGCCTTTGACCAATGGGGTTATGACCAGGATCCAAAGCATCCAATGAAGTCATGCCAACATTCTTCACAGTTGCTTTGCCAGGGAGGTTTAAAGTGTACCTCCTGAGGCAGTGGCTGGAATTCAAGGTGCCAGCAAGTCTGAAACTTTTCCAAGCCTTTGTGACTTCTTTGACCTTAATTTCCACTATTCTCTGTAGCCTGTAGCTGCTTTTATATTTAGTTTGACCAATTGGGTCAATTTAGAATGTTCAATTTTGGATTATAGTCTCTTGATCACACCCTGCCTAAAAGGCTCTGAGGGAATATGTTCCACCTATACGACTGCCACAATTTTACTACTCATTTCCTTATGCACATTTTTCTGACGATTCCTTGCATGTTCCTATTATTGTAATCGGCCTCCCAATTAACTTTCAGCAATTAGATTCAGTGTGTCCAGTATTCTTAGAATCTTTTTATCACTTTTAGGTTCAAGCCTTTCTTCTTATTATTTTAGTCTCCTTCTGTTTGTTCCCTAAAATTAATATTTTTTCCATGCCCAGAATTTCTGTTCTAATTTTATTTGCTGACTACCATTATTTTGTCTAATGCAACCAACTGTGAGGGATCTCATGAGTTTCTGCCTGAACTGCCACTTCTCTGACCTTTGATACCTCATGCTTATCTGAGTACATCTCCAGGGTTACTGGAATACTATTTTGGTATTCTTTCTTAATCATGATTTCCCTCACATTTTTAATTATTTTCTTAATCTTGAGTGATCAGATCCATTGATCCCACAGCATTGCTTTCCTTGCAAATTCTACTGTTACCTGATTGTACTATAAGAAACAAATACAAATTTTTGATTTATGAGCTGCAGAGACAAACTCTTTTTAGCACCTTTTGTGCACTTCTATTCACCGCTATCTTTTCAAATCAGACTGCACAGCTCTGTTCTGCAGTCTTCTGGATACATGGCTACTAGAGTAGAATGTTGTTGTTTTGTTTTTTGTGAGAGTTTTTGAATATAAAGTGGGGAGTTTATCTTTCAGTTGTGAAGGACTGGTGAGACCACAACTGGAATGATGTGTACAGTATGGTTTGTTTATTTAAGGAAGGATTTCAATGCCTTGAAAGCATGCGGCACAGTGGCTCAGTGGTTAGCACTGCTGCCTCACAGCGCCAGGGACCTGGGTTCGCTTTCACCGCTGGGCAACTGTCTGTGTGGGGTTTGCGCGTTCTCCCCATGTCTGCGTGGGTTTCCTCCGGGTGCTCTGGTTTCCCCCCACAGTCCACGGATGTGTAGGCTAGATGGATTGGCCATGCTAAATTACCCGTAGTGTTCAGGTATGTGGGTCAGGTATGTTGGGCGGAAGGGCCTGTTTCCACACTGTAGGGATTCTATGATCTATCTTCATATCCGAGAAATATAGCATGATATCTGGAATGACCTCGTTGCCTTATGAAGGAAGTTGTACAGGCTAGGCTCGTATTCACTGGAATTTACATGAGTAAACAGCTTTGATTAAAGCTGTTGAGGCTGGAGTGGAAGGGATGTTTCTTTTAATGGGAGAATCCAGAGCTAAGAATCACCGTTTTAAAAATAGGGGGCCACCATTTTAAGGCAACAATTAAGCAGTTTTTGTTTTGAGGTTTGAGAGTCTTTGGAACTCTTCCTTTAAAAGGTTAAGGAAGCAGAGCCCTTGAACGTTTTTAAGGCAAAGAAAGGTAGATTTTTTGATAAGCATGGAACTGAAGGCTCATTGGGAATAGGCAGAAATGTGGAGTAACCAGATCACCCATGATCTTGTTGAGTGCCAGGCCAGCCTCTAGGAGTGAGTGACCATACTTCCAATTCGCCTATTGGTGAAGCGAAAAGTGAATGTTGCCATATTGCTAGAGGACCATAGGCTCCTGTCTCATTTGAGAGAGTGACTGATGGTGAATTTAAAGTGAGGCTGACCACACTTCCAGCAAGAGGCAAGGTTGAGAAGGCAGAGTTTTCACGGTAGCCTCAGCAGTATGGGGATTTAAACCTAAGCTGTTGACATTACTGTGTTGCAAACCAGCCTTACGGGTAACAGTCGTCATCAGTGTAATGTTATTTCAGTTTTTTTTTTGCATGTTCCTGTTCAACGGTTGAGAGTACACTAAGTGGTTTGAGCTTGGAACATCGTAACTGTGTAAGCGTGCGATGAATATGACAAACATTCTGTGTAACTTGGGCAGCTGTCTGGTCCCTTGTGAAGTAAATAACTTTGCTATTTTACTAAGCATTTCATGTCCTTTATTTTTTATAACCTTTAATTGTTCTGACTTTGTTAAATTTGATGTAGTAGAAGCCTAATATTGCCAATAAATGCAATGAAATATTTTTACTTGGTGTGAAAAAGGAAATGCTCAATTAGGATCATTTCTCGATTGCTGCTAAAGAGTACTTTTGACTACTGTTCATATTTTGATAGTCTGATAAGAAGTAAAGGTAGCTGGACAGTTTAAAGGAACCTTAACAATAATAGTATAGATAAGAGTTGATAACTCTTGCCTCAACCATGTACAGTTACAGAAATCTCAAATTGACACAGTTTTTGGACATGTTGAGTGTGCATTTGTCATTCTTATCTTCCTTGCTTATTTTGCCAGCTTGTAAATCATCTTCCGAAACCAAAGTGATTTCCCACACTGTTCGCCAACCTGTGTTCCTGCGTAGCATGTCTGCACCCTCTGACCTGGAAATGATTGCAAATGAAGATTTAGAATTCACACGAGCTAGTCAAAGGTAAAAAGTTAAGTTAATTTAAATAATTCCAGTAAGCCTGAATTGTAAACATGTCCAGTCCTGGAAAATACATTGCAGTGCAATCACAGTTTATTAAGTTTCAATGCTTGAAGTTATGTATCTGCTTTGTTTGCAAGTTGCTGACAAGGCAAGCATTTATTATGCCCCATTCTTGAGAACATTAGGATGATTTGCTGCCTTGAATTGCTGTGGTCCATGTGGTGTGGTTGTACCCACGGTGAAATTTGCCAGGAAATTATATGACTTTCATGAAGGTACCACAGTATGTTGGACTATGCGTGATTTGGAGGAATCTTGCAGATAGTGTTTCCAATCACTGCTACCATTCTTCTACTGGACATCACCTCCCAAACCTCTAATTTCAAAATAGCGTAGACAAGTTACTGTAATGCATCTTTTAGATCATGCACACTGTTAATAAATCTCTGATTTGCTGTCTGCGGACTGAAATTGTGACCTAACATGTTTCAAATCTTTGCACCCAGTACAACTGCTTCTATCTATTTTTCTAGTTTCCTGCAACCTTTACTGATTAGTTACTTGCTATAATCCCATTCTCCATTCACATTCTTTGCCAATTCTTTTGTTATGCCAGCCACTAAAATGGGCTTTATTTTTAACACTGTATTGTAAGAGTTCAGTCCAAGTGACAAAGTCTGATTAGCTTTTGAAGGCTTGTACTGAAACATCCAAATTTCAGCTTGAACAAGCATCGAGCCTGATTACCGCTACAAAATCAAAATCTTATGTGGAAGAAGCTCCTCAAGAAGAGAATGCTTTAAGTATTTTCCTGTAGTTTTAAGTAAAAAGGACATCCTTCATCTTTCCACTCACTATCAACTAGGTGACTCAATAGTTTTTATGGGTTTATAAGGCTGTCAGACGTATCTGGATGTGAATTGAGCCACTCACCATGTAGCATCTTGTTCATTATTCATCATGTATTGCTGTTGAGAAGCTAGTTGTGAACTGTCTGTCTGGAATTACTGCAGTCTGTAATGGCATACCCACGTTTTGGTCAGGTAGGGAGTCCCAGGTTTTTTAACCATTGGCCATGAGGAATTGCAATACATTTCCAAGGGGAATTTGCAAGTAGTTGTGCTCCTGTGCGCCTGCTGTCCTTTTCTTCCAGGTGTTCAAACCACGTATTGGTGGGAAAGCATCAAATAGACTGAAGATTTGAAAAAAAAACTGGAAGAATATATTTTAAAAATCAGTGGGTTGCCACTTGCAACAAAAAACATTTTGTACTCTTCTCCCAACACTCATCTTCATTCCAATTAAATGACTTTACCAAATGTTTTTGGATTGGTGAGAAAAAAGTTGGTCTTTCAAAATTCTAAGTTTAGTCAAAGTTATATGTTGAACAGATACATATTTTTTGGTGAAGATGCTTTAAGGCTAGAAATTATTATTGGGGCATACACTCTTAGCCATTAAGTATTGTTAGCTTTAAGTATTTTACATTAACAGCAAAGTAATTTTATTGCAGATGTCTGAGGATTTTTTCCTGTCTTGTTTGCAGGAGACGCCATGGGAATAGTCATCGGAGCAGTTCCTTCACTCTGCTTCAGTCTCTGACTATTGAAGATAGTCGTGACAAGCCAACATACAGTGTGCTGCTGGGACAGCTCTTTGCTTTCATTGGGACAAATCCTGATCAGGCTGTAAGTGTTAAATTTTGTTTTTGCAACGATATTTTTCAAAAGTATTGAAACAGTTTGAAATGACCAATTTTTGTTACAAAAAAAGTACGTAATATTCTGATGGCATGTAATTTGTCAAAAATAAAATTTGAAATGATTTGCAAGTCCAGCTGATTTTGTATATGATGTGCAATTCTGTTTATTGTTCCTTGAATTGAACATCTCTAACTTAGTTACGACACTTGTTTCTCCATGTCTGTAATTGTACATATCTCACTGACTTAAATACACTTGAACTCATTTGTCATTTTTGTTCTTTAGGGCATGCATACTTAATTATACATATATTACTGTCTTTCTAGAGATCTATAAATCACAGCATTAATAATTACTGATGTTATGTTACAAATTTCTTTCATGACCTGCTAAATTAGGTTGGAGAGGCTGCCGTTGAGAGTTGCATAAACAACATTGCAAATTATGGTCTTATTTAACTTAAGGTGTCAAGCAGCAGTTTCCTTTTAGCTGCTCAGACTCGGTGGAGGCGTGGTAACACCAGAAAACAGGCCCTGGTACACATGCGTGAGCTGTTGACAGCAGCAGTCCGAGTTGGTGGTGTTACTCATTTGGTTGGCCCTGTGACCACTGTTCTCCAAGGTGGACCAAGGTGAGATGCTGACCAGTAGAATTGTTAGGGTCAGGGGTCGGGGGGGAGGTGGATAGCAGCATGGAATGGGCGTGGAGAAAGTTTATTCTTGAAAAGGAAATCTGTGACACAGTTTTTAGCATATGGTAGCACGTTCATTTTGCTTACTCTTCTAATGTTACAAATTCTGAGTACTGACTCCTTTTTTAAAATTTCCTACATACTCAGTAAAGTGAGGGGAGTTACTTTGGGTGAATGACGAATGTCTCTGTTCCACCCCAGTAGTGCACCTCAGCCTCACTGCTCAGTCCTCTAGATCTAGTTCCAACACATTACTGAAATTTTTTTTCATATCAGTCATTCTTGATTCTGAGCAGTTGTGAATGCTGAATTATGACTTCTGGAACTGGATTGAAACTGATTCCCGTATTGTCTTATGTCTTATTGTTCATTGTTTGCATGTTCTCCCCCACACTCACTCCATTTTCTTGTGCACCTCAAATGTAGACATGGGGAAAACAAAGCCTCATGGCTGCCAGTGTTGCTGCTGTTTAATTGTTCAGGAGGAGAGACATTTCCAACAGAGTGAGTTGGATCCCCATTATCCCGAGTCGACTCTGATGTATTGGACTCCATTTAATGCTCCTTCCTATTGGTTCTACCGTATCTTAAGTCTTCGAATGTGATGCTGGGCTACTATTATGTACTAGCTGCAAGATTGCAATCAGACAGTATTAGAAAGATTTAAGCGTAGTTTTTTGGTAGGAGACAAAATATTGTTTTTGCCCAATATCATATTAAGATTTAAAATATCTTTTTGGTAATGCAGAGCTTGAGTATTGCTGGAAAAAAGGTACATTTTTAAAAAAAAAAACTTCGTCTTGCATTAATCAGTGTAATGTACGTTACCAAGTAAAAGGAAAACAAGTTATATTGTAAGAGAGGACAATGTTAGTTCAGTTGGCTGGATGGCTGGTTTGCGATGCAAAGTGAAGCCAGTAGCACGGTTTCAATTTCCATACCGACTGAGATTACAATGACCTGTAGATTCACCTGTTGTTGAGATGCCTTAAATCTGTGGTAGACTGGGCACTTTCCAGCACCAAAGGTGATGTCCTTGGGTTCATTCGTGAGTTTATTTGATGTACTGTGAGAAGTGTTCTTATCAGGGTAGCTGTTGTATAGTTGGATAGCTTTTGAGGCACCTTATTTCAGTATAAAGTATCCAACTTAAACAAATGGTCTGGCCTCTATTTATGTGGTTGCTGATAAGGCCTGCCTTGTAGCAGATGGAACTATAGTAACCAATGCATATATTGACCAGTAAAAGGGAATTCATGACATTTAGTAAAAGTCTGACTGATCTCTGAACTAGGACATCAAGGAAAGGTAGCTCATTTGGCTGCACCATTTCAGTGATCAATTTGAGTACAGTATCAAGTCCACTGAGATGTGCAAGGAAATTGCTTTTTGCAGCTGTGGATTAAAATTCAAATATAGTTTAGCTGTTAACTGTTAGTTATAGTCTAACTGGTACATTCTCCACACCAACCACTCTATCAATGAGTCAATTTGCCAACCAATTGATCGTCTCATACAGTATAAATATTTTGCCTTTATTTAGTAATTCTTGCAAATTGCCCTGATGAGTGCAAGACAAAAAGCTTTGGCAACATGTTTAAATTCTTTTTGCTTTTGTTATTCAACTCAGTTTGTTTCATTCAGTCCCATCAATCTGTTTCCTCCTAATCTAACAATGTCCCGACAATTTAAATAAAACCCACTGTGCGAGAGATCGTGTTCCTGAAGAAGAACAGATTTGATGTTGAGCACAAAGTTTTAAAAACAAATGTTATTTGATTTACAGGATAGTTTAACTCAAATTTGTGTACTGTTAAGTTGAAAGAAGTTTATTTCACTGAACAGACTTGAGTTTGGATTCTGGTTTTAGAAGGAAGCTATTTTGCAACTGACTGTCACTGTTTTCCATTGGTAAATGTTTATTGCTGTTCTCTAAGGATTGAAGAACTGACATGTGGTGGGATGGTGGAGCAAGTTCAGGAGGCATTTGGTGAGACCATGACATCAGTTGTTTCACTTTGTGCCCGATATCCAATTGCCTGTGCCAATAGCATTGGCCTTCTTTGTACTATTCCATACACAAGGTAAGGAGCAAGTGTCCTTCATGGTATTTGAATGAATTGGAAGTTAAATCAACCGCGTTGTTCTCCTATGTATTTAAATGATCTCCAAACAACACAGATGACATCCTTGTTGAATAATTGCTTATGTGGTCTTAGCAGTGGGCTATGCTCCTAATTGGGGATGTATGCGATTTAAGTATCGTCATGATCAATGGGGAAAAGTGCACTGATAATAGAGTTCCACAAGCCGTGACAAATGTGTATGAATCTAATTAAACCATGAAAATCAATTTGCTTGACTGACTGCAATTCGTAATCCAACAGTAATGGATATCAGGTTTCATCATTAGTGGGATAAGTAACTCTAATTGTTAGAAACAATTGTTCTGTAACAAAATGGCAAGCTGATGTTAATTGTAGTCTTTAAGAAATTCTGCTTTTTTTGCAGCCTATCTTCTGATGGTATTGCTTTCACCTAGCTAGTATTTCTTTTCCACTGTGTTTAGGAGTGAGGAGAAATGCCTTGTGCGTAGTGGCTTGGTGCAGCTCATGGACAGACTCTGCAGTCTAACAAGCCAACGAGAAAGTAGCTCCAGTGAGAAACAGACAAGGAAACAGAAGGTAGCTACGATGGCCTGGGCTGCCTTTCAAGTACTAGCTAATCGCTGTGTGGAGTGGGAGAAAGAAGAAGGTGAGTGTTATATTTAAATACAATCATGTCACCCTGTTCCCACCTTTTATCCTTTTCTGCCTTCAAGCTATTAAAATTCAGGTTATCGTCATTCATTACTTCATGTTTGACTTTGGCTTCTCTATTTACCTTGGTTCATGTCTTGCACAATTTTCTTAGTTAAGACAAAACCTGGAAATTTCTGCTAATTATGTGAAAAGATGGTATACAGTTAAATGAGAGAAGTACACTTTGGTGATAAAAGGCCGTCAGTGATCTTTCTGATGGCCCTGCTAATAGCTTTTAATTTCAAATGCTTCCCTACTGTCAAAATAAAGAAAGAAGTTTGCAGACTTTACATTAGAGGGCAGTTTACTTGTTCCCTCAGTTCATTGTTGCATGGTTGAAGATGAAGATTTTGTAATTTCCAACCATTTTCTACGGTTGGAGGATCAGTTTACTGAGTCCTGTGTTGGACAACTCGACAGGGTATGCCTTATAAAAATTGTTCAAGGTTCTGTTGAATGATCAGACATTGGAGCACTTGGCTGCTCAAAGTGCTCCATTTGGTTGATTGTTGAATAATTTTGAGTTGTTTTCGTGGAGTAGTAAAAAAAAAAATACAAGTGACTACTTGTAGGTGGCAACCTTCTCACTCTGAGATGTCAACCAATCGTGCAGATTATGGTTAAATGTGAAAGAATACACAAATAAAGATATACCTACCAAATACAGTGTAAGCCAAACTTTGTAAAGTTAACATTTTTGGTATCAATTTTTTAATTATAACCATTCCTTAAAAAAACCCTAATATATGGATATTTCTTGAATTGGGATTCCTTCCATTCCAGATTAAGAGATGAGTCTTTTGGGTATTTAACTCTTTTTTAGGTTGGCATGTGGTGCTGTACTTCAATTGAATTATGTCTTCCTCCTGTGCCTTTTAATGTGTATTTAATCACTCTGTCTCGCCATCTCTCTCTTGTTTGACCACTTGTCCTTTTCATCCCCTGCCCCCCAAACAAAATTCCACCCCCCATTAGGTGTATCAACAAATGCAGTCCATTCTGGCTTAGCTCGCCAAGTGTCAAGCCTATTGACCAACCATCTAGCCCGTGCTACTGAGTGCTGTGGGAATCAAGCTGCAGGGAATGACGCACTGCAGGATGTACTCAGCCTCCTCAATGATCTTTCCAGGTAGGGAGAGGAGCAAGACATTTAAGGAAACAGTTCTTTAGGCACGCAGATACTGTTTGAAACTTTGGTGAATGTCAGGTTCTGTAAAGTGTGTACTGTATAGTTCTTGCAAAGATGCCTTTGTTTTAAAAGGATTGTACTGACAAGCCTGTGTTGCTGTCTCATTAATATAATCTGAACAGTCTTTTTGCTGTGTGCTGTCTGTAAATGGTTAAATAAGTGGCTGAAGAAAACCGGGTTCTTTATGCCATTTCATTTTTTTAAAATTGATTATTGTGGACAATGACACCCACAACCAGGGTGCAACTTGAAAGGACTGCTTTCAGTTCATTATTTGAATAGGTTTTGAGTGAGTTAAAGTTGATCCATTTGTGTTTTTTTTCATTGTGCAGCACACTGGAGTTATGCAGAAGTTCAACTAAGTATAATATTATAGCACATGTTATGTGTGATTAACATATTTAATGGATAAATTCAATGTCATTGATTTTTATTTAGTGTCAAAATAAACACTTGCGTGTGTGCTCTGTTATGCTATTCAACAATTCTAAAAAATGATGTTTAAGAATGAAATCTGAATAGGTCAAACTTTTTTGTCAGCCTTGTTTTTCAAGCAGCAATTATGTTGCCTAAAACATATTTTGACTATTTGAATTTTGGAAACTAATGAAGAAAATTTAACTCTGCTTTACTCTGCACTTTATTTCTGATCTTACCAGAAGCCAAATTGGTAAAGCAATCCTTAGCCAACCTGCCTGTGTGTCAAAGCTCCTTTCATTGTTGTTAGACCAGCGACCGTCCCCCAAGCTGGTGCTCATCATTCTTCAGCTTTGCCGTGCTGCCTTGCCCCTCATGAGTGTGGAAGACTGTGGGAATGTGGAATTGCCACCATGGAGTTATTCTGTACCTTCCCTGGACAATGAACAGGATGATCCTGGTGATCCTGCTTCAAATATTGCATCACTTCTATTAGCTAAACTTGCTGATTACGTTGTACCAGGTAAGTTACTTGCCAATGTATGGTAAGGTACTGCTAAATTAGATCATTTTTTGCACATAATATTACATATCAGTCTTCTACCTATCCTCTTGGTCTTTCCCTGGAATGACAAATGGTCTCTTCATTAATCAGTTTTAGTCGTTGATCTTTCACCATTAGACAGTTATGTGTTTAGTATAAGATGTTGCAAATTCCAATTCCTTTAGGGTGAGAAATTATTCCAAGAGCCACTGGTTCCTGATGTATTTTTGGCTTGCAGGCGACGTGGAGTATCATGCATGTATCATCATAAAAGTACAAGTGTTTTTCAGGCTATTGCGGATTTCTGCTCCAGGGTAACACTTCAAGGTCAGGTGCCGAGCTCCAGGAGATTTCTGCAGTGTTGGCTGAGAAAGAGTGTGTTTCTGGAACAGAATAGGCCCTTTTCTAAAAAAATAGTAACCAGTGCTGATGTGGTATTGCTCTTCTGACAACTGACATGAGAAGTGATTAGTATTGTTTTTTATATAAATTAACTTTTAGTTTTAGACTTAGGATTGCACAAATAAATTCTGAAACCATTGGGAACCTAACTGATGCTATTTACCTGAAACCAAAGATCTAAATTTTGTCCCTTCTCACGTGCCTCCCATTAAATCTTTCCTCCCCTGAAGATATTGTCGTCTTGGTGTAGGTTTTTTTGACATCTGTTGTTCCAGTGCTTAAAATAGTGACCATTTCTTTTTGAGCCTAAATTGTTTCATGTTAAGCTATTCCTCAAAAGATTGTTCATACCTGAACCATATCCTGCCCTGAGCTGAATCCACACATGCAGTCTTTTTGACAGAAGAAGTGGTGATCAAATGCAGACACGGTGTTTTCTTGCCTGCACTAACTCATGTGCTGAGATGTGGTATAACATCTTGTTGCCTAAGCTGGGATCCACTAACAGAAAAGACCAGTTTATGTATGGCAGTAATTATTAAATTTCATAGTGAGTTACTGTTGGTGAAACATAAATTGAGAAATTGTCATAATTGAATTTGTGCCTCAAGTATTCGCATAGCTTCAGTAGTCAAGCGTGCAGGAAATCCTACTTGCCATCAGAGCAATATCAGTAAGGCTGTTTGTTTGAGAAGCTGAACATTTAACACTGTTTCCAGGGTGTCAAACCGTACTGTCTCCCAGCACGTCTGAAGCTGGTTCTTCCTTTACAAAATCCAGCCCAAAGAACTCAATAAAATCAGAGAAAGATGGTGGAGAAGAAAGCGAGGCCGTAGATGGTAAACTGTCAATCTTGATTCATAAACGTGAAGATCAGTCATCCCATGAAGTCCTTCAACCATTACTCAGGTTGGTGTAGCAATAGTGTTCTTCTCTTCTGCCATCTGTTTACTTTTCCCTTGAAGATGTTGTCTTATGCTACTTCAATACTTGCTATTCTCTAGCATCGCAAGCCCCCCGATCCTGATGAACTTCATCCTAAGGTCTTAAATCAAGTAGCCAATGAGATTGTTGATGTCTTGGATTCGGTTTGCCAAAATCCCCCAATTCTGGGAAGGATCCTTTCGACTAGAATGTATTGAATATAATTCCTTTATTCAAAAAATAAGGAAGACGAACTGCAGGAAACTACAGCCCAATTAGCTCAACATCAGTCATAGAAGATGTGAGAAACAATTATAAGGTTGTTATTGCCGAGTACTTAAAGTTCAAGATAATCAGGCAGAGGTAACTTGGTTTAGTGAAAGGGAAGTCATATTTAGCCAATCTTGTATTTCTTTAAGTAACATTGGATAAGTGGAAACTCATGGATGTGTACTGTACTTAGATTTCCAGAAGATGTTTGATAAGGTGACACATCAAAAGTTATTGAGATAAAATCTGATTGTCCAGGATAGCATACTGACATGGAAACAGTAGGCAAAAATGGATCATTTTCTGGTTGGCAGGCTGTAACAGTTGGTGGACCATAGGGATCTGTGATAGGGCCTTAACTTTTCACAATTTATACAAATGACTTGGATGAATGGACAGAAGGTATGTTTGCTAAAGTAGTTGATGACACAAAGGATAGGTACAAAAGGCAGTTGTGAAGAAAAGACATAAAAGGCTACAAAGCAATGTAGATAGATTCAGTGAGTGGGTAAAGATCTGGCAAATGATTAATGTGGGTAAATGTGAAAATGCACATTTTAGCAGGAAGAATGTAAATAAGCATCTAAATGATGAGAGATTGCAGAGGAGGCTTGGTGTCTTCGTGCATGAATCAGAAAAGTGTGCAGGTACAGCAAGTAATTAAAAATAATGTAGGTTTCATGCCTTTAGATTTCACATAAGCTGTACAGTAAAGTTCGGCAGATCTTGAATGCCAATTATGGCAGAGTCATACAGCACAGAAGAGGCCCTTCACCCATGGAGCCTACACTAATCCAACTTAGCTCATTGCCTTATATATTGCAACATCTCAGGTGCTTATCCACATACTTTTTAAAGGTTGAGATTTCCTGACTCTCTTACATTCCCACTCAGTACAGACCAGATTTCCACCATGTTCTCGATTTTTTTAAAAAAAAATTCCTCAATCCCCTCCAAACGTCCCCTTTTACCTTAAAGTAATGCCCTCTTATTATTGATCCTTTGAACTAAGGGAAACAGCAGTTTCCTATCACCCTGTTCATTCTGCTCATAATCTTGTACACCAGTCAGGATCCCGTCAGACTTCTCTGCTCTAGAGAAAACAACCTGAGCCTGTCCAGTTTGTCGTCTTGGCTAAAATGCTTCAAACCAGGCAACATCTCCTCCAGTGATATCACATCCCCCCCCTATAGTGTGGCGACCAAAACTGCGCACGGTGCTCTGGCTGTGGTCTAATCAAAGTTTTGTGCAGCTCCAGCATAACTTCCCTGCTCTTACGATGTATGCAAGTGATAGGTATATCACTGCCTAAAGGCAAGCGTCCTGTAAACCAACTTAGCCATCCTATTAACATGTCCTGTTGCCTTCAGGAATCTTCAAACAAGCCTGCCAAGATCCCTCTGTTCCCCTGAGCTTCCAAGCATCCTGCTATTCATTGAGTGCTTCCTTGACTTGTTACTACTTTGAAAGTACATCCCCTCTCACCTTGCAAGGTAAAATTCCATCTATCACTGATATGCCCAACTGACTGACCCGTCTATCTTCCTTTTACCTAAGACCACCTTCCTCACTACTAACAATGTGACCAATTTTCATGCCATCTGTAAGTTAGCATCAGAACGAAGGAAACCAGCAGTGATCCTTGTGGAAATCCACTGGCCACTCTAATCACACAAACAGCATTCTACCAACACCCTCTGTGTATCACCACTAAGCCAATTTTGGATTCTTCATCTTCTATCATTAATCCAGTTTTGGATCCATCAGCTCCATGCCATCAACTAATGTCCACACTTGCATACTTTCCACAATGAAACAAAAAATAGCAACTCTGCTTCCCCTCACCTTTCCTAGATTGATGACCATTTTTAGCATGCTCCAAAACTGCCATAGGACAAATCAGTTAGCTTAGAGACGATAAATTGAGTTTCTTTGTTTATGGGGCTCAAATTCAAATTTAATCTGCAGTTAGCACAAAGCTCTTGGTAATTATTGACTACATTAGCATTGGTCTATGAGAAACACTCTAACTTGGTGTTCAATCCAAAGTTAGACTTGGGTTAGAATTTATCACTTCCAATTCAGTCTTACATATGCACAGTGAATTTTCATGGCTGTATACAAAGTGTTATCGGGTGATGTGACAATGAAGTTAAATATTCAGTTGCACTTTTATGTAATTTCAACTCTGTCCTTTGCAGTAGCTCAGAAGGGCGGCCTTTCCGATTGGGCACTGGAGCCAACATGGAGAAAGTAGTGAAAATGGATCGAGACATGACTAAAGTAAGGAATTATGAGAAGATAATTTCCAGATCACAGAATCTTTTACCATTTGGGAATTACGATACCCTTAGCACAGACTGGCGATCAAATGTAAATCTGTCTCGGATCTCTGTGGCTCATTCTGCACTTCAATGACCTTTGGCATCAAAAAAAAAAATCTTAAGTTTATGGACTGAAGTTGATCAGATCAAAGGAGTTGTATGCTGGAAGTCACTTTTACTGTTCTCCAAAAGTATTTTTACTTTTTTAACAAGCTAAATGATTTACTTAGGTGTTAATCGTCATTTTTTTCTTTAATCTATTAGTCAGGATACAAGTTCCATCTCTTGAACAAATTAGTTGCTATCCATTCCTCATGTTTTGAATCTTCTGTCCGAAATGGGCAATGAGTTCTGCTTGGGTAATAAAAGTCAAAGAAGTACCTTTTCCTGCTTGACTTGGTTTTTAATGTTGAGAATTCATACATTGCATAAATCAAGTAACTGGGTCACTACTAAATTGTGATAAATAACTGTTTAGTGTTTCAGCTCACCTATGGAATATATGTTTCTTGCCTATCTTGAAACAGAATAATATTGTGATATTGTACCGATTAAAATATGCTTTCTGAGACTAATGATTTCTTTGGTTTGCAGAGTGGGTACTGTGAAGTTATCACAGAAGAAGCAGTTGCAGCCTTGCGCAAGGCTACCAAATGGGCGCAGTCAGGACTAATTGTAAGTGTGGGACCACCAGTGGAAGCTACTAGTCAGGAGGCTACCAGTGGGCTGACAACTGGCGACAAGAAGAAAACAGCTCAGACATCCATCTGCAGAGAAAAAAATGCAGAACTTGCCAGGTAAGAGATAGTGAGAAAGAAATGGGATTGAAGACCAGAAAATGAAGAACATACCCTTTCAGGATGGAGCACAGTGAAACTGTTCAAATTTGTTCTATTGAAGAACCCTATCACTTCCTGATTTAAGACTTTTTCGACTGTGCAACCTAGTTACAGGACCAAGAGGTTGTAGAGAGGCTAAAATAAAACAAAAATAAGAATCAGATTGCAAGTATGTGGGTTCAAGGACATATTGCTTTTAGCTAGAAGGGAGAGCTAAGGGATGAAAGGAATAATGCGGTTTTAAGTACTTGTGAATTTAATGTGTTATACTAAAGATTAATGTTTAGTCATCTACCTGTATGTTGTAACAATATTTCATTAACCATGGAACATCCTGAGGTTGTGAAAAGTGCTTTTAAATGCACGTTGCTTTTTAGAAACATAGAACATAGGAACAGGTGGAGGCCAGTCAGCCCTTCAAGCCTGCTTCGCCATTCATCACGATCATGGCTGATCCTTCATCTCAATAGCCTAATCCTGCTTTCTCCCCAAAACCTTTGATCCCACTCATCCCAAGTGCTATATCTAGCTGCCCCTTAAATACATTCTGTGTTTTGACATTAACTACTTCCTGTGGTAATGAATTCCACAGACTCACCACTCTTTAGGTGAAGAAATGACTCCTCATATCCATCCTAAATGGTCTACCCCAAATCCTAAGACTGTGACCCCTGGTTCTGGACATAACCCACCATCAGGAACATCCTTTGCATCTACCCTGTCTAGTCCTTGTAGAATTTTATAAGTCCCCATGAGATCCCCCATCATTCATCCGAACTCCAGCAAAAACAATCCTAACCTAATCAATCTCCTCGTACGTCTGTCCTGCCATCCCCAGAATCAGCCTGGTAAACTTTCTCTGCACTCCCTCGAGAGCAAGAGAATCCTTCCTCGGAAAAGAAGACAAAAACTGCACACAATATTCTACGTGTGGCCTCACCAAGGTCCTGTATAACTGCCACAAGACATCCCTGCTCTTGTATTCGAAACCTCTCTCAATGAATGCCAACATACCATTTGCCTTCTTTACCGCCTGCTGCGCCTGCATGCTTACCTTCAGCGATTGGTGCACAAGGACACCTAGGCCCTGCTGCACATTCCCCTGTCCCAATTTACAGCCATTTGGGTAGTAATCTGCCACCTTGTTTTTGCTTCCAAAGTGAATAACCTCGCATTTATCCAAATCATACTGCGTCTGCCATTGATTTGCACACTCACCCGACCTGACGAGATCATGCTGAAGGATCTCTGCATCCTCGTCACAGCTCACCCTCCCACCCAACTTGGTATCATCTGCAAACTTTGAGATGTTACATATTGTTGCCTCATCCAAATCGTTAATATATATTGTCAATAGCTGGGGTCCCACAAGTTATTGCTTGCCAATTTGAAAAGGACCCATTAATTCCTACTCTTTGTTTTCTCTCTGCCAATCCGTTTTCTGTCCATCTCAATACACTTGCCCCAATCCTATGTGCTTTAATGTTGCAAAATAATCTCCTATATGGGACTTTGTCAAATGCTTTCAGAAAGTCAAAATGTATCACATTGACTGGCTTCCCCTTGTCAACTCTACTAGTTACATCTTCATAGAATTCCAACAGATTTGTCAAGCATGATTTCCCCTTCATAAATCCATGCTGACTCTGTCTGATCCTGGCACTGCTTTCTAAATGCTCCACTATAAAATCCTTGATAACGGATTTGAGAATTTTCTCCACCAGCCATGTTAGTCTTAGTGGTCTATAATTCCCTGTTTTCTCTCTACTTCCCTTTTGAATATTGGAGTGACATTAACTATCCTCCAAATGCAGCGACTGTTCCAGAGTATGTAAAATCCCGGAAGATGACCATCAATACATCCACTATTTCTAGAGCCACTTCCTTAAGTACTCTGGGATGTAGATTATCAGGCCCTCAGGATCTATCTGCTTTCAATCCCATCAACTTTCCCAGCGCCATTTCTCTACTAATATTGATCTCCCTCACTTTTCCCCCTCACTAAATCTTGCATTCTCAAACGTTTCTGTTATCTGAGAAAAAATAAAATATAAATAAAATTTAAAAATCTGAGTTTATATTTGGTCTGGGATGAGCCAGAATGACATGGTTAACAGTACTTGTGAGGCATACTTATTTCTACATGATATGGGAATTAGATAGGAATTGAAGCAATAGACAAGTTATTAAAAAAAGGAATGTGTTGGCGTGCTTAAACCTGATGATTCCCTTCTCGAATAATATTGAGACTGGAATGTGACTTAATTTTTTTTTTCCTTTTTAATTTAATTTTTGGGGGCTTGAAAACAAATTTTGGTTCCAAGAATTGTTCTGTCTTCTCCCTGCAGAACAGACCCAGTCCGACCATTCATCAGTGGCCATGTGGCAAACAGCATGGCAGCAGAAGTGATTGCTCTACTGCACAACTTATTGATGGCTCCTGAGTTCAGCACTGCCCAGATCTGGACCACCACTGCAGAAAAGGTACATAAAACAAAATGCAGAGGCCAAGACCTAAAACTACTTTTGAAGCAAGATTTCTGGTTTTTGTTTTCTGGGTCTAATAGACCACTGGACCAATGACTGGTGATCCTCATGCTAGTCAGTCCTCTTGAATCATTTGATTTACAGCATTTGTGCAACAAATTCCAGGAAGTGATGTCCAGTGAGGAAGAACAGTATGAGGCTTTGATTATCTACAAAAATGTTCTTGAGCTCATTCGTCAATGATAATCGTCTTCAGCTTTATAAGGATCGGTTGAAACTGATTTTTTTGGAGTTTCCAATTGATATTTTATAGATTCTTGTTCACTGAGCCATTAGGCTAAACTGTAATCTGCAAGTCCAGTAAAAAATTTTCAATATTTTAGTTTATTTTTAAGAAGTTGTTCATTTTTAAAATGGTAGAAAATATGGGTTTTGCATAATTGTGACTTCATTAGCTAAAGAAACAGACTCAACAGAATCAGAAAATCTCTGTAGGACCTAGTATAGGAAGAGTTGGCACAGTGACTCAGTGGTTAGCACCAGTGCCTCACAGTCCTAGAGACTCTGATTCGATTCCAACTTCAGCCAATTCACTGTGTAGAGTTCGCACACTCCGTCTGCGTGGGTTTCCTCTAGGTGCTCCAGTTTCCTCCCACAGTCTGAAGATGTGCAGGCGGGGTGGATTGGCCATGCTAAATTGCCCCTAGTGTCCAGGGATGTGCAGGCTGGGTGGATTAGCCATGAGAAATGCAGGATTACAGGGATGGTGTAGGTCTGGGTGGGATGCTTTTCAGAGGGTCAGTGATGACTTGATGGGCCAAATGGCTTGCTTCCACGCTGTTGGAATTCTAAGATTCATGTGACTCCACCTCCTACAGCCCACATTTCCTCACGATAAGTTCCAGTAAATTTCTGTTGTAGTTATGACTCCTAATTTTGGAGTAGAGTTATTGTTAGTTTTTTTTTTCAGGATTTTGTAAATCGGAATCCTCAATTTTTGTTTCCAATTCATTAACGTCCAGCCACGTTTAAAAAGATATTATTAATCTTGGATTCACACAGGTGCAAGTGATAATACTGTTGTCTGGCTAAATCTATGGGACCTTTGGAAGACTCAGCTTAGGGTTGAGCTGCTTCATCATGATTCTATGCAGCCTCATTGGTTACAGAGGAAAGGGATAGGGTCACATTCTGTACCATAGTGTTTCTGGAGTTTCCGTTTGTCAATGTTGATGTGTTTTCATTTATGACAGTTTTTCTTGTCTACATGTTTCCCTGCAGAGTGCTAATTTTCAGTCCTTGAGCCTCTCCCATTGCTTATCTTCATATGATCCTCGGTAGTATTATCTTTGAACAGATTTCATTTGTGTGCTACTGATGTCTAGCTTTGTCTCTTCACTGATGGATTTCATTCCACAATGACTGGCATGCTAGCACGCCTGCTCAAAAGTGGGGTTGAACCTTAGAACTCAGTATGATGATTCTGCATCCTCCTGGGCTGCAACGAGATCTATGCCCCAGAATCTAATCCTTCCTCTTCCTGCAAACTTACCCAACCTGCTCAACCTTTAAAATCTCCCAAGCCCCTCAGACTTCATTACCAACACTGCTATTTCCATCTCTGCAACATTAAATTACTTTAATTGTATCTCAATACTGCTGAAATTCTCATCTACGCCTCATGTCACTTTAACTCAAATTTAAAGTTCTCAGCCTGCTCCTCATTGGCCTTAGCCATTGTACATTTCACAAAATTCAACTCTTACAAGAAGCCTGATTACATCCAACTTTCCATGGCCCTTGTCTTCCAGCCTGTGGTCAGTGACAGCCTTCAGTGATCTCGCCTGCTCACAGGAGCATTCACTTCAAAAGCACACCTAATTGTTTAATGATCATCATCTGCAATCTCATTCCAGGTTTCCTCCATACCTTAATCATGAACTATGTTTGGATGCCTTTTATTTCAAAGAGGTTACAAATGTAAGGTTCCTTTTTACATGTCTACTGAAATCTTGTCCTCCGTCAATCAGGTTCTCTCTCGAGCACTGATGTACATCCCTCAGCTTGGTAAATATGCAGAGAGTGTCCTCGAGAATGGAAGTAGCAGTGGAAGAAAATTGGCAAAGCTACAGGCTATTGGACGGCAGGCGGTGGCAGCACTTTGTGCACTTGGGGGCTTCAAAGAGACCATTAAAATAGGATCTGAAGTACAGGTAATCTAGTCATTGTCTGCATATTTCTTTCATGCATTGATGTGTAAGACATTTGTATTAAAATTAAATTTTTATGGAGGTAATGCATCCAAACCTGATCTTCCTTTGCGAGCACTTCCAGGCATTGCTTTGATAATATCAATCAGTGATGGCCATCCATAGTGAGGTCGCTTCGAGCATAAATAATTGTACCTTAGGCCGAGGCTGGGTGGAAGTAGTATTCGGGTGCAGGTTACAGCAAATAAAAGCAACACCGCAGTCGATAAGGCTATGGGAACAAAAGTCGAGAATTCAAGTCATTTTCACAAGTGTTCCACATAATAAAATCTTAAAGATAATGATGAAACCGTAGAAGACTGTAATCTCAGTTATTGCAGTGTGCAGGCTTATGACGGAGCATTTGTTCCCTTTTACTAAGCAGTCTCTCAGTAAATCTAAATACAAAGAAAGACTTGGAAAATTTTATTTGAGTGACACTGATTGCAAGGTAATATAATGTATGATTTTTAAAGAAATGTAAGAATGGGAGTGTGTGGATAGAAGCAGTTTCTTTCGTCCCCAGTAGCTGAGGTGTTCAAAATGAAGGAGCATGGATGCAAGAAATCTAAGAAATTTAGAACAGCGATCAGATCAAAAATAGCCCCAATTTTAAGGCTGTAAAATTAACTTTGAGTTAGTGATTGAGACAGAATCTAGGTGGACTTTTAACATTAGATTACATTGGTGAATGAAGTGCTTTAAGGGATATGGCATCAAGGCAAGTAATAATGTTGGGATTTAAATTAGCTATGATCTAATTGAAAGACAGAATATGTTCAAAGGATTACAAGGCCTCCTGTTGCTTCGAAGAAAAAGGATTTGGCAAGATATGTTGGAATAACGTTGCTAATTTTAATTTGTGCTTGTTTGTTGAGGATCGTTGTTGACATCCATGATTGCGTTGAGTGACTTATTTCTGTACTGTAAATCATTTCTATTCCTGACAGGAGGGAAGACTATTTTTATTTTATTTCATTGCTAAAAATATACTTCAAACACAAGTTTATATTTTTCTTTAGGTTTCAGGGAAGGGCATATCCGGAAGCATTGGAGTGGTGACTTCTATTAATGAACAAGAAGGTATTGCCACAGTCCGACTTCCCTTATCTGATTTTCGAAAGGCTTCCAAAGCGTCGGACACAGTGACTGTTCCAATATCGAGACTGTATACCCCACGATGTGAGGTTTGTTGTTTAGAATATCATGGAAAGTGGCTGCTGCTGTATTGAAATGCATTTAAATTTTACAGAAATATTGATCTTGAAGTAATCTGTTCATTATTGTACTGTCACGTTGTTTTACCAACAACTGTAATAACTCATCTGTTGTATTTGTGTGGTGCTAGCTATCTGCTAGGTGTAAATCACTGGCACGCTGGTTTGGCAGTCTTCGCATGATATTCTGTATTTATGTCTTGCATTACAAATTCTTGCTATTTTGTCAGAATTATCACCACCACTTGTTTATACTGAGCGCTGTCAGCTATGTTGCTGGGAATGTTCTTCAATCCTCTCCATGTCATTTGCTTGGATGAGTACGAAATAGTTTCACAAATAATGTTATTGGAAGATGAGGTGGTAATTCTGTTCGAGACTTCTTCCCTCCCTCCTTCCCCTCTATCCCTCTCCCTATGTCCTTCCAAAAAAGAGTGGTTTTAAACTTAATTCAGGATGAAGTAAACAATTGAAAATAATAAACTGCTAGAGGAAGTGGTGGAGGCTGGTACAAATACAACATTTAAAAGGCATCTGGATGGGTATATGAAAAGGAAGGGTTTAGAGGGATATGGGCCAGATGCTGGCAAATGGGACTAGATTAATTTAGGATATCTGGTTGGCATGTACAACTTGGACTGAAGGGTCTGTTTCCATGTTGGAAAACTCTATATATAATTCTTTTCAAAATTTGTGCAGTAAAATAATTGAACAATTTCTGTTTCCATGCAGTTTTGAATAAATCTAGTCCTCCATACTCCCTAAATCTCTAGGATTCTCAGTTGAAACCAAAGTCTTACTACTGTTTGTTCACTATATTAACCCATGAGATCAATACGCCTCCAAATCGATCAGAAGGCACCTGGAAGTTCATCACGAGAGATGCCTTGCAACGTGCGTGCTTTGCCCTAGGTATAATGCTTGGAACCACAAGACTTAAGAGCAAACGTTTGTCAGATCAGCTGTGATCTCATTGGATAGCAGAGTAGACTCAATGGGCTGAATAACATACTTCTCCTCCCATGTGTTATGATTCCAAGCATTATCCCTGTTACTTTCCAATGCCTTCCAATTAGCGGCATCTTGGCCCGGTGAGTTAATATACTGACCGCAGAGTAGCAAGACTTTCTTTCAGCTGAGGATTTGCCACATAGTGGATTCCTGTTTTTAGCAACAAGTAATTCAGAAGGTGGATGTTTGATGAATTTCATTAGTTTCCTGCTATTTTAGTTGCAGATCATGGTGTGCTGTCAAGAACTAGGAGAAGTGACATGGGGGAGAAAATGGGGAAACGGAGCCCAAAAAAAGTTGATGGGTTAGCTGTTTAAATAACTATAATGCAAATTATAATATTTTAACAGTTGTACCTGAACTGTTGTCTTTTGATCTTTATATATTTTAGGCCTTGCCTCTACATAAGTTGTCCATCACGGAAAAAGTAGTCCAGGCAGTTCAGTCCATGTTGCTTCCACAAGAAGGGAGTCTCTCCATTCTGACCTCACTCCCTGCAATTGGTGATGGCTCCACCCCTGTAATGGCAGTAGTACGACTTGTTGCTGAAATAAGAACCAGGTAATGTAATCTGGATGAGGTTATACCTTGTTGCATTTTTCTTTGGTTTTTCTCTGTTCCCTGAATGTTTTAGGTTATTTTTGTTGTAAGAATTTGTCATATGATGTTCTGCAAGGTTTCCTTCTCATGTGGGCTACTGGGAAACATAATTTGCAAGTGAAGATTGTGTTTCAACACTTTTGCAATGAATGTTGGTTGGCTAGAGCTTAACTTTGTGATCTCTTAAATGACTGTTCAATGTATTCAGTAGCTTAGTAAGTTTGATATTATGGACCTAGAGTTGATTTTGGGCCCTGTGATTGTGTAGAGTTTGATCAAGATGCTGCCTGTCAAGTCAGATTTCCTAAGGCTATGTGGCTGTCTTAAAAGATTTTGCAGAAGTATCTGTAAAAATTCATGTCTGTGGCAAGCATGCCCCTGATACTGTGTCAAAACCTCAGTAACTTTTAAACTTCAGATAATATTATGGCTGCATTTGCTGACACTTTTTGCTCTGCTTTAAATCGCACCTGCACATTTTGGGGTGGGGGTATGGCCTGGGGGAGGAGAGAGAAATGGGATGGGGTGGGGTGGGGGTGAGGGTGAGGGTGCATGACTGGGACTGATCATGCGCATGCATGTTCCTGAATGAGCACACGTGTAGTTGCCCACAGTTGCCTGTGTCAGAATTTGATATTAGGTCATTGAAGGACAGTTCATCTCTTGTACATTAACTCCAGTTCATACCAATGAGACAGTTTGGCCAGTTTTGACTATTAACAAGAAATAATTTGATCAATCATTGGTCCTTGCTTAAACACTGAAGTAAACCTATCCATATAATTGAGGAGAATTAGTGTCCTGAGACCACTTCTAACTGTACCTCCCCTATCTGAAGGGGCTAACTGGGCTTTTCATATTGTGTCCATCGGAGATCAAAGCATGCTGGATTTGTGCTTTTTGTTCACCATTATGTTTATAAACTGTCTTTGGTGGCACATTATTCCAAATAACTTCCTGTTGACAGTTCTAATTGTAGTTCTGCTTCAGGGTACATGACGTTTGGTCTAAAAGTATGCTGTTGTGACACAGGACCTCCAACTGCACTAATGAGATATGCTGCTTTAAATGGTATGAAATTGAGGAAATAGGCAGTTTGAAACTCTGGGACAAAATCTGTGTCCAAATGTTATCCTTAAACCATATTTGGTAATTGCACCATTTTCTTCGTTGTAAAATATTTTGGTTTGTGAGAACAGAGTTCATCAGTAGAGGGATTTACATTATCCATTAAGGCTGCAACAAGTAGCATTCTAACTTCGGTTCTAGATTTACTTTGTTTAAATAATTGATAAACCTCTACTACCTTTACAGAGCATGCTTAGTGATGGCCCAGTTACTGGAGGATAGTTTGTTCTGTGAGGAGTTCATTCAGCAGTGTCCAGCAGCTGTGGAGGTTCTGAACCTTGTGGCACAGGAGTGCAGTCCAGGTACGTTTGCTGTTCTAAGTTACAATTATATGTAATAGATTCAGACTTTGCTTCTTTAGGAATGCATAGGCCTTGCCAATATCCTCAGTATACAGTAGGCATGGAGCAACTGTATAAAGTTAATCTTGCCAACCAATACTATATGCACAAAGATACCTGAAATCTGAATAAATGTTTGATTAAAATTCGAGCAACACAGGGTATGACGGGATTCAGTCATGGCTTTGAATTGGAAATTGGGTAGCTGTCTGACAGAATAAAAATTTAAGGATGATGGCAAAAATGTGGAATTGTGGAACTAACGTACACGCAGAGCGCTGCGTGTATGTGATGGGCCACCTCCTGTGCTGTAACCATTCTATGATTCTAAATCAGATTACCAATTTGTAACTGTGTGAATTGCTTGACCTTTGTTCTCCTGACTTATGACATCTGAACATTCTGGTGCATTTATTTCCTTGTAATTCAGAATCTCAGAATTGTTATGGTAATGGTGGACCATTTGGCCCATCATATGTGCATCAGTTCCATTACCTAGTACTAATCTCCTACCTTTTCCCCCTATCCCTGCGAACCTGCCTCCATCACATTTTCAAGCAGTGTATTTCATACCCTAAATACTCGCTGTGAAAATGTTTTTTGTTACATTACGTTTGCTTTGTTTGCAATTACTTCAAGTTTATGCCCTCTCAATCATTTCTTTTCTACAAGCAGGAACAGCTTCTCCATATCTACTCTATACAGCCTGCTCATAATTTTGAAAATCTCTGTCAAATCTCCTTTCAGCTACCGTGTCTGCATGGAGAACAGTCTCAACTTCTTCAATCTATTCTCATAACTGAAGTTTCTCATTCCTGGAACCATGCTTGTAAATCGCTTCTGCATACTCTCCAATGCATTCACATCTTTTCGATAATGTGATACCCAGAACTTTACACAGTACTTCAGCTGAATTTCAACAATTGTCTCTTAATTGCTTGTATATGTTTATAATTCTCATTGTAATTTTATAATATGTAATCAACTTTTGCTCCCATTAAAGTCTGTGGTTTAGTAGCTCCCAAGTGTCAACTTAATGAAGATATTGCTTTCAAGTTTCAAAATTGAACTGTTTCCTTCCTTTGTCATTTGGGGATTTGGTCACATTTTTGGACCAAAGTTTAAAATAACCATTTTATTTATGAGCTCAGGGCAGCGTACAATAGCAAGATCTTCAGCAAGTCTGATTAGAAGTGGTGATTTGAGGTACTGTACAGTTTGCATACTTCTGTGCCTTGTAAATCCTTTTCCTTTTTAAAAAGGAAAATATGCTCTTGTTTTCAGGTGAGCGGTTGGTGGTGGTAGAAGCTCAATGTGAAAGACTGAGAATGTTATACCGGGACTGTGCTCGTCCCCCACCTCCCCCACTGCAGTCTGACAGGAGACAGGTAATAGTACTGCAAGAAACAAAGCCACATCAATACACACTATTGGTCTACTTCCCTGAGATAGACAAGTTTACTCTATGGAGTATTCTTTCTGCATCCTGTCAACTTTTTTCTTTAACTCTTCTAGGCGAATACTAATTCTGGCTATAGGTAACCAGCTAAAAACATAAGTGTGCTAATCAATTGTTTCTTTCCTTTCAAATCCACTGCACCGTAACAATCCTTTTAATGCGGGTCAAGCACATGACCAAAACTCCACTGCTAGACTACTCTCTGATTTTGTTACAGATTGGTCTCATGAAGTTTGAAAAGTTTAAAAATTCAGATTCCATTCAGTAATATTGCTGACTAATTTCCAAAATTATGTCTATAAGAACTATGAAATAGGAGCAGGAGTAGGTTATTCAGTCTCTCAAGCCTTCCCTGCCATTCAACAAAGTAAGGCCGATTCTGTCCCAGGCCTCAAGTCTTTTTCATGACATCTGTCCATCATAGCCCTCAACTCCCTGATGTTTCAAAAGTCTGCTGAAAAACTTTGCAATTTAGCATCCAAAACTCCCTGGGAAAGAGAATTCCATAATCCATTACCCTTTGAGAGGATAATGCACCTCAGTTTTAAAATGAGCGTCCCTTTGTTCTGTAAATACGTCCTCTAGGTCAAGATTCCTCCATTAGTGACAGCATTGTTTTGGCATCTCTATATAAGAAGTTTAGTCGTTGGACAACAATCTTTTAAATCAGAACAAATTCTCATTACACTATGTTAAGATAGCAGTGTAACTCCAGGAATAGTCTGGGTTTATCCTGTAGTCCCTGAAAGTCTCCTCTGCCTATTTTGAAACTTTTGTTCAGAGTCCTAAAAATATCTTTCCTTCGTGTGTATGTAGGTTAAAACATATTCCAAATAACATTTCATTTCACAGTGCATTTTAGTTAAATTTTTAATGTTTAGATAATTTTTTTTTGTTCGTATCTGTTACCTATTTATGCCCCACAAAGATGGTCATGGAACTGCATCAGTTCCTACTATTTGACCATGCTCCCTTATTAACAGTAACAAGGAAGTGCACAGGGTGGCCGTGGGTTATTTGCTCAGTGATACCTTTTCTCCTTCTTTCAGGTGGATCCTAGTGGTTTGAGAGGCAGCTGAATCAATGTAATTCAGTAAGGAAAATATAAGGAAATAATTTGGAGGTGAACTTTTTGCCAATTTTCTCCCCTTATCTTCTGAAGATGCTGATACTTACTGGGAATCTGGACATTGTCCAGTGCCTCACCCAAGTGCTTTTCTTCATGCATAAGCTCTACCAGTGAGTGTAAAGAAACTGTTTAACTGCAGGAGCCCAATTCTGTTCTTTTTGGACATTTGAGAGACACATTTTCCAGCACAAGTCACTGAATAATGGTCAGGAGAAGCAATTATGCTCACTTCTCTTTACCTCTTCCTCCCAAGCCAAAGAGCCACAAAATCACTTGATGTTTTTACTCAAATCAGCAGCTCACTATATATACAGAATTGAAAATAAGATCTTCAAACCTGTATCATTACGCTCAATACCAGATAATGTTTTCACTTTCAAGGCCACGGGGAAGCTTATTCTAATCATAAACATACTTTATCTAGCTTGTTGGGTGTTCACTCGCTTGATTGGGCATCATTTACTGTTGTAGGGTTAAAAGAACTTTTTGTTTTTTTTTTTTTTTGAAAATAGATTGTTTTTAAATTAATTTGAAAGAGTTAATTTCCCCCTTTTGTTGTTCCAGCCAAAAGAAATTACCTGGTGTCCCTCCCGTGTCTTCCCTCCGGTGCGTGCGTGCATGTTTTCCTCCCATCTTACTGCTGTGACGTTCTTAGCTGATCCAAGTGCAGGAGGGGGCTTGCCTCGTGGGACATTCATCTATGCCACATCACAGATACCTGTACAGGTGGGTGTTTGACATCAACTGAAAAGGATGGATATTAGAATAAATAAGTTCTGTTGCATTAATTGTACCTTCTTTCTATTCTGAATCAATAAGCTAGTAAAAAAGTCTTCATGTCCAGTTGGTGATATGAGAGATGAAATTGAAGGAATTGGTTGACAGTTACTGAAACAACTGAGGTAATCAGCTTTAAACAGCCTGGGAAGACCCAAGAAATGTGAATGGAAATAAACATCAAGTTATTGACAACCAGTTTGTTTGTTTGTTTGTTTGTTTGTTTGTTTTATTGTAGGACTGTCAACATCTAAAAGAGAAAGACCGTTTCAAGTACTTGGTGGGGCCTTTGTCAGAATTAAGCCTTTGTTTTAATGACTTAAAATGTTAAGTTATTTTAACATTTTTCTGTTAACATGTTAACATTTATGTTTACATTTTTCTTTTACAAATGTTGTCTAACCTGCTTTGAACCACCACCATTTTCTGTTATTCCATACTGCCAAGAGTTGACTCTGATTTTTTGGTAGCAGTGCAGGTTGTCTCCAATTACAAATGTGCTGTAGGGTTTTCTGCAATCTTGGTATCATTCCCTGTATTTTGAAAACTTTGTCAATCACAATCTGCTGGAAATCAGACAGAACCTACATTTTTGCCATCTGTGCACAAAACTGACTGGGCACTTCTACCTTATTCCTCCAAAAGCTAATCCTTTTCATGATTTTGGTCTCTTCTGTAATTTTAAGTATATATTCATCTTACTAGCCCTTTTATTTAAAAAAAAAAAAAATCTGCTTCAGAAATGCATCTTTATTCTCCAATTTTAATTATTAAATGCTCGTATGTGTGCAAGTACTTATAGTTAATGCTGTTTGATGTATTCTTCTAAGGCACCATCATTTTATTGGGAATTAGAAATTGTTTCCTATGGAGACACAGATGATGACAGTGGCCCAATCGTGTCTTTTGGATTTGCTACAGAAGCTGAAAAAAGGGATGGAGCTTGGACAAATCCTGTTGGAACGTGTCTCTTTCATAAGTAGGTGCCTACAATTTGCTATCTTGCAACTAGTGTTCAGACACCAGGGAGAGCACGATTTAACTGCAGTTTAGTTTTGCTTGTCATCCCATTAGAAAATATTTTGTTTGTTTCAAAGAGCAGTGACTTGTAAATTAATGGGCCATTCTTCAGTCATCTTTAATGTTAGTGTGCATTGTTTCCATCAGTAGATAAATTGAAGACAAGTCAGTTATGGTGTGAGGGTAAGCACTAAGTATATAAAAAGAGGTTAGAAGAAACTCCTTTCACATGAAAAATTTCAAGATGTGTAACACTTTGCCACTAGTCATCAGTGTTGTATTGCAGTATGCTGGATGATTATTTAGAGAATATAAAAGAGCATGAAATTAGTGCAGGAAAATGAGAATAGCTTTTGGAGACAGCAGGAAATCTGGATTTTAGAAAGGTCCTTCTCCCAACCAGATATTGGATAAACGTTTTTGTCTTTTTGACTTTTATCAAGAAAGTCCTCAAGACAACTGGACAGAATACAAAATGGTGATAACTCAGTGATGCATTGAAAACATTAACCTTGTTTCTGCTTGATGCACTCCCTTAATATTGTGGTTGAAGTGCTGAATTTTGTCACATTGGTGAATCTCGTGATAAGGTCTCCTTTATACTTCTGTACCAAATCCATGCATTAGCACATTTTTGTGCCATGGGCTCTTTAATTTTTACTTAAATGTAAATAGGTAGGATGATGCTTTTAGGACAAATAGGAGCAGCTGTGTGTTCATTTATTTTTCTCTTTGCAGTAATGGGAGAGCTGTACATTATAATGGATCCAGTCTGCTGCAGTGGAAGAGTGTTCGATTAGATGTCGCCCTATCACCTGGTAATTACCAACAGTTTTGTGTAGATTGATGTACTTTAATTGGGATATCTTTCGAAAGATGTCAAAATTTTAGAATTGCTCGAGTTTGTTGCATTCTGTTATGTCACACAAGAATTTATTGATTTTTTTTTCTCTCAGCACATTTATGTTAACATTTTTGTATTTTTTTCAATCGGGGCAGCAAACTGACCTAAGTTACAATCTTTGTTATCTGGAAGGGCTTAAACCTTTTATGACCTTTTCAATTATGTGTGTGATGAGCTGAACTCTTATCTCTATTCAGCTGTGTGGAATTGCACTCCATCCTTAATTACATTCTAGTATTCCATTCATAGCAAGAGGTTCCTGTCCACTGTGTTTACGTCATATTCCTGCACTATTGCATTTGGAGTCAGCCTAGCAGTGACCGAGGCCCCTTTCCATTTTTCATCAAATCTCCCTGGGTGATATCATCCAAGATGGTGTGTGATTCCACAAGTAAGCTGACAACATTCTGTTCTATCACTCTTTGACTCCCTCTATTTCCTCTGATTAATTACACTGCTTATTCAACCTCCAGTGAGCAGAAATTTCTTCCAGCTGAATATTGGAAAGACTTCTGCTGTTGTCTTTGGTCCCTGCCACAAACCCTTTTCCGTAATCACCAATCATCCCACTCTTTAAGACTGAACCTGACTTGGCTGCTTAGCTGTCCTAGTTTACATTATTATGAGCTTCTGAATCCATATTCTGCCCATACAATTAATGCCTAGATTCATCTTGCGATTACGGCTGCTACTGCATCAGCCTATCTGCTGTTGAAATCCTCATTCATATATTTGTTATTCATCTGTCTGGCTGCTTCCCTTTAACTCATCCCTGGTATGTGTACTGTACCATATATCAAGTCCTGCTCACTCCTCACCAGTGAGGTTGCTGGCCTAGTTTCCAACTTTAGATCGCAATCTCGCAACTGTTTCATTTAAAAATCTCCATCCTTTTAGTTGTTCAGGAAATAGGGAGGGGCGAGGCAATCATTCAACCCACTCAGTACTGGCAATCTTCAACCCTGGCCTATTGCGCATTTTGATTTTTCATCATTGGTGGTTGTGCCTTTCAGCTGCTTCAGTCATACACCTTGAAATTTCCTCATTCAACTTGACTAATTCTCTAGGTTTCGCTCAAAGTATGCATCTTTTACCAATTTTTTTGTCATCCATGGCTCGGTGTTAACTTTGATCCTGTGAAATACCTTGGAATGTTTTACTATGTTAAAAGTGCTGAGAGTTGTTCCATAATTTAAACATGTTGTAATTGCATATGCAGAAGGCTGTGGAGGCCAAGTCATGAAGATGCATAGGTTGTTGATTAGTAAGGGCATCAAGGATTATGGGGAGAAGGTAGGAAAATGTAGTTGAGAAACATATCAGCCATGATCGAATGGCGGAGCAGACTTGATGTCATCCTGAAACTTGTTAAACTGGTAAATTGTTCATTCTCTTAACCATTGTAGTTGACCAAAAACAACTAAAAAATTGTTGGTCTAGAAATGTCTATATATAGTCCTACCTCTTGCCTCAGTCACAGTCTTTCCAACATACTTAAACAAAATCTCCCTTTCATACAAACGTTGAATATAGGAGAGGACTGTTCAACCGTTTAAACTCATTCTGTCATTCAATAAGGCTGATCTAATTGTAACCTCCAATCCCCATTCCTACCTACCCCTGATATCCTTTCAATCTTTTGCTTACCAAGAATCTAGCTACCTCTGCCTTAAAAACATTCACGAATGCTCTCCTGAAAAGATGAAGAAGCATAATTCCAAAGACCTACACCATTTGAGAGAACAAAATTTCACCTAATCTGTTTCAAGTGGTTAATCCTTAATTTTTAAAAAGTGTCCAAATAGTTCCATATTCTCCTATAAGAGAAGATATTCTGTCTATGTCTACACTTTAAAGACCTATCAGGATCTTGTATATTTCAATTAGATCACCTGTTGCTGTTCTCATCTCCAGCAGATATAAGCCTGCCCTGTCCAACCTTACTTGTAAAGATCTCTGAGCTATTTATAGTAATGCCAACATGGATTCTGGCCCTTTACTTTTTTAAGTCCCCAATAGCATTAAAGTTTTGCCACAAATGACTAGATTGGCTATCATCTTTGAATCTAAATCCCCCATGTTGGGTACCCAACCAAGAGCAATTATCTGTCCTCTGGTACACAGTTTGAGTCCTGCCAGTGCTTCTAAAGAGCACTTTATCTGTAAAGTCAGTAACCTAAAACCTTAACGTTTTAGCTTTTTAATTATGGTTTCGTAACCTTCCAGTGTGATTTCCTGGGACTTTTGACCTGCAATATGTAATTGCCTGGTCAGTTCAGGTTAATTGACATGGAATAGCGTTTATCAAGAAACCACTTGTATTGACAAAATTGGAATGGCTCCTAAAGTAATGACACAAGTGGATTGGGCATCAATTAATTTTGGGCATGCTGGGTTTCTATCCTTTGCCTGGTAACAAACATTAAAGTTGTGTATGCCATATCCCTGACATAGTTCTTAGTCACTTTTAAATCGTACTGTTACAAGCAAGTAGTGGAAATTGGTCCTGTTAGAATCAGCATAGAGTTTGCACCTACACTTCTAAGCTTATGTATCAAGGAAGCTTATTTATTGTTAGTTTTAAACACCTTTTGCACACCTTGTACCACGTTTATTCCTTCAGGAGAGTTTTCTCGAGCATTTGACCATTTAATTTGACTTTTGTGTTTTGATATTTCAACAGAAGTTATTATTACGTTTTTAAAAAAACTTCTGTTATGAAAGTGCTAATTTGTTGGGTGGTGAGCAGTTCTGGTATCATCTCCAAGTGACCATTCTAATTTTTGGAGACTATAGAGCAGCTATTTCCAACAATTCACCCATGTATGGACTCAATGATAAATGCAATCATTGTCTCACTCATGAACATACGGATGCTTCCCAACATATCTAACCAATCAGAAGTGTAAATCATGCCTGTTTTAAATGCCTTGATGTAGGAATAGTTGGTTGATGCTACACTCAACAAACCCATTAGTTGTGTGCTTTCCCACAAAATAAATTGACTCAACTATGAGAGAAACTGTAACCATTTTTTTAAATGAAAAACCATTAAAGTTAAAAGTTAGGATAGTTATAAAGCATACACGTTTCCATGCCTCCCTTCTTATCCTCCTCTAGGTGATGTGGCAGGAATTGGTTGGGAGAGAAGTGATGGAACACCACCACCACCAGGACAACCATCAAAAGGCAGAGTATATTTCACGTATTGTGGGCAGCGGCTAAACCCATTTCTAGAAGATGTGTCTGGTGGAATGTGGCCAGTTGTTCACATTCAGAAAAAGGTAATTTGTTTGTTTAATTAGTTACAAATTGCTGTCTGTGGGTCTCTGTTGTGTGCAGATTAGCTGCTCCATTTCCTTGCAAAAGCCTTGATTCCACTTCAGAATCGTATCAACGGCTATGTAGTGCTTTAGGCTTTGAGATTGTAAAAGGTACTAGATAAATGCAATATTTTTACTTTTAAATTGACACAATGGAGCAATTGAAAATGAAAACAAAAACAAAAGAACTGTGGTGCTGGAAATCAAACAAAAATAGAAACTGCTGGAGAAACAGCAAATCTGGCAGCATCTGGATAGAAAACAGTTAACGTTTCAAATCTAATGCCTCTTCTTCAGAACACGTTTTGGCTCTTGAGAGGTCTATCTGGATTCCATGATGGAGGTTCCAAACTCCCATCAAGACTCATAATCCAATTTGTATCTCTAGTTATTTCTAATCATGTGCAGCAAATCCTTAACTTTTACTTGTTTCCATCTGCTTTTTAATAGAATACTAAAGTCCGTGCAAACTTTGGATGTCGTCCTTTTGCTTATGCAGAAGGTCAGGCACACAGGAATGCGGCTGATCTCTGCATTGATCTAGCGGAGGAAATCAGTGCCAATTTTGAGGCTTTACCATTTGCCATGGCCTCTGACAGTGACAATGATGCTGGTGCTAGTGTGGCATCTGATACTGCATCCCATGGTCCACCCTGTCGAATTGCAGCTACTGCTGCAGCACAACAGCGTAAGTAGCATTTCTCATTTAAAGACAATTGGTTGCATCTTGCTGCTATGTTGTTCTGTCATTTTTAACCCTTTTAGTCTCGATTATTTGGCTTCTCTTGTATTTTAGATTCGTTGTATGGATCAGTGTCAGCTTCCTAATACCTAAAGGCTAGATAAGCTTTCATATGCTCAGATGAACATACAGGAAGCCCATTCTCTAAATACTTTACTGCCCATCTCTGGAAAGTAGCAGCCTCTATATCAGACTACTTTTGAGGCTTTACTGATCAAATGAGTGTTCTCATCAGCAATTATACTTCAACCATCATAAAATAGATGATCTGGCTGTTATCACTTTGCTGTTTATGAGACCTTGCTGAATGCAAATTAGCTGCTGCATTTTTGCAACAGAGGCAAAGTGCTTTGGAATGTTCTGTCATGAAAGGTTCTATATAAATGCAAATTCTTGAACAGCAGATAAACAAAAACAAGTAATATGGTGTATATTTGTAGTCAGCATCATAGAAGCAAGATCCTGAAAAGAAAAATAATAAAAACTTGAAATCACTAAATTAACACTTTTTATAGATGCAGTGATTTTAATCTTGCATTTCTGACCGCTAGCTGGGCTATACTGATCTTTCTGAACCTGTGAAAATTCCAAAGCATTTACCTCGATTTAGGTAATAGAAGTTGAGCTCCCTTAGTAATTTTTATTGGGAATTATTAGATTTTAGCAACTGATAGCTCAAATGCTTTTTAAAAAAAAACTGTCAGTTTTGCATGCAACTATATCAAACATATGACGTTGTATATGTTTGAATTATGTGTAATTATGTATTTTGATTCCTTCCTAAAGCCTGTAACTTTGAACAATACTTGACAAGATTAGAATAAGAATTCAGGTCTTTGACCTGAAACATTAACCCTGTTTCTCTCTATCGCTGCTGCGAGACCTGCTCAGTATCTTCAATATTTTCTTTTTTCACTTCAGGCTTCCAACATCTGTACATTTTACTTTTAGCAAGATCTATAGTGATTTAGAATGGATCAAAAATTTTACAAGCTGTTAAGAACACTATTTGATGGAAGGATGATGAGCAGCAAATGTGCCTCATGTGACGTTCTCCTCTGCTTATTTACAGAATATGACAGTGATGCTTCTTGCCATTACAAAGTAGAATTGAGCTACGAAAACCTTTTGATATCTGGTCCGTACTGTCATCCGTCACCAGTAGCCGATGATGAAAGTGATGACGATGATGATGATGATGTTCCAAGAGTAAGCGCTTGACAACTTAAAAGTTAATAATGAAAGCAAGATTTGTGTTGTCTTTCTCATTGTATTAGTTCTGTCCCTTTTCCTTTCTGAGAATTTGGAATTCATAAGCAATGGGCCAAAAGTCCCTGCAGTTATCATACTATTGACAGACACCGTAACATTTGCACCACACAAATGCCAGGTTTGACCATTACCAATAAGAGACAATCTAACCTCCGCCCCTTGACATTCATTGAATCCCCCCACTATCAGCGTCTTGGGGTTTACCGTTGACTAGCAATTCAACTGGATTCCCCACATAAGCATGGTGGCTGCAAGAGCAGATCAGAGAGTAGGATTACTGCAACAAGTAACTCCCCTCCTGACTTCCTAAAGCCTGTCCACCATGTATAAGGCACAACTCAGGAGTGTGCAACAACACTCAAGAACCTTGACACAATCCAGGACCAAGCAGCCTGCTTGATTGGCACTAAGTCCACAAGCATCTGATGCTCAGTAGCACTGTGTATACTATCTACAAGATACACAGCAGAAATTCACCAAAGATTGAGACAGCACCTTCCAAGTCCACGACCACTTCCATCTAGAAGGACAGGGCAGCAGATACATGGGAATGCCACCACCTTCAAGCTTCCCTCCATGCCACTCATCACCCTGGCTTGGATAAATAACACTGTTCCTTCATTTGTTAGTGGGTCAAAATCCTGGAATTCCCTCCCAAATGACGTGGGTCAACCCACAGAACAAGGACTGTATCTGTTTAAGAAGGCAGCTCACCATCATCTTCTCAAGGGCAACTCAGGACAGATAATAAATGCTGGCCAGCTAACGATGCCCAT